ATTATTGAACTCTTGTTTTTTTTTTTTTTAAATAATACAATGAGATTTATCTTACTATTATTGTAGTTTCTCTTGCGAATAAATCTGTTAAAGTGCCAGTGACTCTGGTGAATCTGCCAAACTTTTCAGTTTCGACTTTCAAATGAGTAAGTGTATCTTTTTTGAAAGAATATATATTGTTTAAACCCTTTTGTGCCTTCTGAAAAGATTTTTTCATTCTTGAAAGTTTTGCTGAAAAATTTATGTTAGCTTTTATGAGTGCATATTTTATTTTATTTTTCTACTGGTTATCTTGCCTAAATAATAATAAGGCGCATAAAGGAAAATTTTGTATAAACTTATTTGTGCATTTTGTATTCCTTCAAGTTTCGCTATGAAATTTCCAGTTTTGTTGCGTTTGTACTTTAAGAATAATCAGGATAACAGTGCTAATGCCCTCTCTATTCTCTCTCTATTCTCTCTCTATTCTCACTCTATTCTCTCTATTCTCTCTCTATTCTCTCTCTATTCTCACTCTACCACATAAAAATCTTTTTACAAATTTGATAAAAAAATTATTTTCCCATTTGTTATTTAAGAAAAAATTCTAAGAAACCAAACGATGTAATTTAAAATCCGTATATTTTTTAATTACAAAGTAAACATTTGAAAAGCGAAAAAAACTGTTTTCGTTTAAAAGTACGTGTTATCTACTTGTGACGTTGGAGTTGTGATGGCGCTTCTTACTTTTGATTGATAGTTGACGAACTCGCCTCGTCAACTATTCACAATTGGATTGAATTTTATCTTTAGTGGATGCGCCATTATTACAGCTTTCTGGTAGAGATTAAACATTACATACATACATACATACATACATACATACATCTCTACAGGCAAACATGGAGAAAGGTACCCGAAATAAGACGTAGTGTCAAAAGGACGGATTTTCTCCTGACACCGCTTTTTTAATTACCTTCACTCTTCGGCAATGTTTATTGTTTTAAAAAGTGATTATTAGAATTGGAATAAAAATTAACCATATGATGAAAATGAATTTATACATTTTCTTTGAAAATTTACAACAAAAACATTAAGGATTATTTATTAAATTTTTTATTTACAAGAATAATTTAATATTTACAACATTAAAAACTAATTAATTAATGTAACACAATATTTATCATTTACCAATTCATAAGAAAATAAATATGGAAACAATTTTTTATTCATAAATTTATTAAATTAAAATATGTGAACCAACTATAAAGAAATTCTTTTACTATTGGGTTGGTGCATAATTATCAGGCGTTTTTGAAGTTGAGTTATTTGTTAATAAAAATTGCTGCTTTCTTTAGTTTTTTTTTTTATAAAAATGTTATTTTATTTTCAGGTTATAAAAATGCGAGTCGATAATCATACGCTCTGGAATAATCATTTAAAAATGTCGTTGTTGAATTGTTATGTTTCTTTTTTCATGAAAAGTATTGTTTAATAAACGCCTGATAATTTATGTACCAACCCAATATTTTATAAAATTTGAATCAATTGGCAATTAGCCGATGTTTTGTCAACCATTCTCATAAATTATATAATAGATAAATAGTGTAAATAAACAATTTAATAAATAGTATTTATTATTTTTGTTGTCAATTAATAAGAACAAAGAAAATGTATAAATTCAATTTCATATGTATGTTTTATTAGAATTATAAAATTTAAAAATATTGCCGAAGATTAAAGGTAGATTTTTAAAAAAGTGGTGTCATTACATACTTTTGACACTACGTCTTATCGTGGGCACGTTCCTCCATGTTTGCCCATTGGTATATATCTCCTCAAGGCATTTGATATAGGTCTCCGTGCTGAGTGTGATGCCCCGTGGGAAGATGTATGGAGGCATAACGTCGCCATCACTTGTGATCACTCCAAACACCTTCATAATCACCATTAGACTCATCCAAATCTTTCCGACTCATCTGCACTGTACTCAGATTAACATTCAAATACTCTGAAATGTTCACATTGAAGCTTCCGAAGCAAACGACAAGCAGTACAGCATGCCGTTTCCAAATTTCTGGTGGAGTGAATTGCGTCATGGTGTTTTTTTTTTCTCACAGATGGTGTCCAACTGACCCTACTATACAGTGTAATTTACCTATAGCATCCCTTCTCTGTCTGTCTGTCATATATATATATATATATATATATATATATATATATAACGCTGTCGAATGAAGATAGCTCAGTGGTAGAAACTCACCAAATCGGTTGGGATTCAATCCTGGCTTGAGGCATTCGGATGTCTAGTCGCACTAAGGAGCTGTCATACAGCGAAACAGTAATTTCTGCGAATGATAATATATATATACACACACATTCGCAGGAATATATATTCAAACATATATTGTTGAATATAACAGCGAATGTCTATTATGTCTGATCATGAGCCGTTCTAAACTACGTATAGTTGCTTTAATTTCGGACTAAGACAAAAATTGTCCAACATTTGGATAATTTTTATTATGCTGTTCTTTGATATAAGGTATTCCGCGACCGTTATCGTCGCATAGCAATCTTCTATGTCAACATAACAGAATATCATCTTTGATGGTGAATATCTTTGTTTAAATGTCCCAATAACCACTCTGAAGATGGCTCACGTGAGCCGAAAGCTTAGATCAACAGCTTAGAGTAATAACTGAGCAGTATTAAGGACTAAAACGAGATATCCGTAGATATGGGCAGTGAAACGAGAACATCCCCCCACCCCCGTTTGATTAAATACTACCGACAACGTTGTCTGTGTGTGTGCATTTATATGTATGCATATATAAATTCTTCATAAGCTAGAACCTGTTTGGTGGGTGAGGTAGTTGCGTCTTTTCCATTGGCAACAAATTTCGAATGTTGAATTTCATGACAAATGGGCACTTCCCAATTGAAAAACTGGCGCAACACAATGTTCTAGTTTTATTTCGTTTTGTGTTGAAGCAGGATTGATTAGTATTTGTGTATATGTGTGTCGGGGGCGGGGCGGGGGTCTCCTTGCACTGGAGTAAATTTAGTAATGATGATGATGTGAATACGTTTGTCTGAGATGCCAGTTCAATTTCTAGGATTATATTTAAATTTGATTATTTATTTCTAGATTCATTTCTTCTTCATCTTAATAATAATAATAATATCTGCTTGGTTAACTTTTAAATGTCCTCAAACTCTAAGGTAATTTTTAAATTTAGTAGGCAGTCGTATTAAAACATTTCCTGAGGAAAATCCAATTCCTCCTCCACACATACATATTTTTCAATTTTAAATCCTAAAATATTCATTTTTTAGTTTTAAATCATAAAATTCACTGCACCATCTATTTACATTTAGATTGACAGCCAGAGGCAAATATTAATAAATATTAAAATGAAAGTAAATAATAGCAAAGATTTCTCATAATGAAATTCACTGTCTTGAAGTCTTGAACCTGAAATAAATAACACTTGTTTCTTACAAAAAAAATATGCACTATGCAAGAAAAAAAAATGCTTCGCTTATTTTGATCTTTAATTCCAGTCGCCCAGTGGATCTGAAAAAGTAAAATAAGCTAATAAGAATTGATTATCGCTAAGCAACACTGACCAATGCGTCTAGGTATTTATTCTCTCTCTTTCTCTCTCTCCCTCTCTCTCTCTACGAATAAAGAACATGCAGGTAGCGTAACGGTTATCGGCACGGAAAATAAAATCGGCGATCCGAGTTCAAGTTCTGTTCTGCTGCATTCAATTTCGCACTAATGCTCGTAAAAATGGAATGAAACCCCCTAAAAGCTATGGGTTAAATAGCAGAATAAAGTTTTGATAACAACTAATCTAAGAAAACTAAGAATTCCTAACTGTGGAGAAAGCAATAGGAAATTACTCCCCTATCTTTCACAAGAAGTCATGGCAATTCGCAGACATTAAATAAAAAGAATCTGTGGAGAGTCATGATCTTGAAAAGACATAGTATTAAAAATAAAAATAAAAATTATATGTATTTTTCATTTTCGCTTCAAGAAGTGTAATCCGCTTTATTAGCTTATCAACTGACTCATTTGATTTTCGTACCTCACATTAAAAGAGGATTATTTTTGACACTTTTTTAAAAAAGTATTATGAAACACGTTTTGGCATTTGATCAGCCACTCTTGTTTTGGATGAAATCCGATACAAGTAAAGGGTAGCTTGGTTCCTATAGATCCGTCTCCAAGCATTAACGAGGTAGGTTGAGGTTGATACTCTTTGACGCCTGTAGCAATATGCCGATGAAACTGTGGTATACAGACGTGTGTACGTTCTTTGTGCTACATCCAGTCCACGTAGAAGTATGGACAGATGAATATTTTTAGTATCTACCACAAAGACATCAATCCACTGGCAAAATAATCCAAATGTCCACGAATCTGCGACCATTAGACATATTAAATGGTTGCCGTGACTTTGATTCCTAGTGCTCAACAAAATATGACCTTAAGTCAGATTATTCCGGAGGACAACTTCGCCTGGTGTAGAATCAAATGACATGTTGCGCGCATAAAGAGACAGATTCGCTGTAATCTGAAGTGTTGCATTTTGCACAATAAAAACGTTGCAGGTGTCCAACAAACAAACACACACACACACACACTGCCACCAATCACGTGACATTATGTACCAATAAAACACAGCCACAAATACTGACCAATAAAAAATCTTACTATGCTCGTTGAATGAAATTTAAAAAATCACCAGATTTTGACTGATTGATCGATAGACTCCTTTTCTATGGCTTATCAACATTTTGCAGGTTATTTAAAGCCAGGAAATATTTTAAGATTGTAAGAATTATTTTATTTTTGGGGAGATAATAATAATTTTAGTGATACAAGTCTTACTAATTAATTCGTAGCTTGGTGAATTCCTACAGTTCTGAAGTATATTTTCACGTAAGTGAATATAAGGAACCCAACTGGAATTGAATTCCGAGCCATTATACATTACACCACCCGCACAGTGCCTGGGATTTCCAACCGGTCACCCATCTAGGTACTGAACAGGTTCGACGTTGCTTAACTTCGTTGATCGTATGGTAACCGGTGTTTCAGTGTAATGTAGCCGTAAGCCTCACAAATCGTCGTAGAACAAATAAAATAAATAGATGTAAATTTATAGATAAGACAATAAAAATAAGACAAAACACAGTGAAAAATTAGTTTCATAAATGATATGCCTCACATTCCACATTTAATATACAATTATGCGCCGCTAATGTTATTCACGTATTCATTTATTATTAGCTTCCAACACATTAGGACATTTAGAAGAACCGTTAACGATTTTAACGACATTAGCTCCGTACAGAAGCGCACAATGTTCCGTTCAAATGAAAAAACAAAAAAAAACAAAACAAAAAAAAAACATTAATTGCATTTCTGATAATTAGAAAGCCTCAGACCGACCATCATAAACAAACACAGTCTTTGGTATTTGCCGATATTGGATTTTGAATATATTTTTGTCACTTTTAATCAATTTAGGTCGACATATTGATTCGAGAGACCGAGCGAGAGAGTGACAGAATCAAAGTGAGAGAGGCATAGAGAAACACAAAGAAAGAGAGAAACTGAGAAAAAAAAGAGTGGAAAACGGATAGTTACAAAAAAAATGCCAGAAAGAGAGAGAGACAGACAGACAGACAGATACAAAGAGAGGGAGAGAGAGACAGACAGACAGAGAGAGTATGAGCAATAAATAACTATCGCTGCAAAGATTTTGTCAATTAGAAAAAAACAAACAACTTCATTATTTTGCCTTCAATTCGTTTTTACATGAACGTGATAAGAAGTCTCCACAATACACCAGCACCATCCTCAGTATTCAAGTTGACTTTAAGTAATACTATGGTTTGGATTATTTCAATTTTTCCTCGGATTCTTAATTCTTTCACCCTTTTTACAATCTCTTTGGAACTCTTCCAAGTATGTTAAAGTCAAGACTGTCACCATCATGTCCTACAATCTTTTTTTTAATTTGCTCACAGGGTTGAGAGATTTGTTTAGTTGTTCACTGCCTTTCATTTTTCTATTCCCACCCGAAGGTTATTATTTTGGGTCTAGTAGTTGCTTATTTTATTTATTTAATTTGGCTAGTAGTTGTTGTACAAGAAGTAATACTATTAGTAGTCATTTTTTGATACACGGTGCAGTAATGGATAGCGGCTCGGATTGAGGAATCGGAGAGCCGAGTTTGAATTCCAGTCGAATCCATTACATTCACTTACATGCTAATACACTTGGGAAAGGTATGAAATTCTCTTCTCCCCCCATCGGCTATGTGTAAATAGCAGGACAGACTGGGTTCTATAGCCTTGGATGGCAACTGATCTACCGCAGAAAGAAATAGCAACCTACTACGGGAAAAAATCTGCTTCGTCAGTCATGTATCAAAAGATACATGCTCTCCTAAGCGTGTACCACGCATGACACATAACTGACTGAGTAATTTTTTAGCATTATTATGATTGGCATTATTTGATCCTTGTTGGAGTAACAAAATAAAATAATAATAATAATGATGATGATGGTGATGAACGTTTCGCGTTTGACCACAAGAACATGTATCATCACAAACGACGCTACTGGTCCATTCATAAAAAATCGGTAAAAATTTGGAGGGAAAAATAATTTTTTGTAGATTAGCATTCTTAACTCCTTCCCAGGCATAGACATGTGTATCTGTTTTAACCGAAAGTGTCTAAACATGCCCAAAACATAACGATCAAAAACCATCTACAGACGTGTTTATACGTCGATCTTGATTCTTTTTTTGTCCTTCTGAGTATGAAATGAGTTCAAATGTCAACTCATACGTCTGGTAGAGGTGTTAGCCACCGCTCGGATGCTTCAAGGTGCCTCAGTTTCTTAGTTACTATATTAAAAATAAATAAAAAAATCGTTTGAAAATGAAACGTTTTTTTTCCAAAATAATTGGCGGGGAAGGGTTTAAAGAATGCTCGCGACACTTATCAGAATAAAAAAAATATTGATTTGTTATCGATTTAGAAAAGTGAGCCTGTTGATAATATCGATATAGTGTCAAAGCGACCCCTGTCTTTTACAGAGTTATTGGGCTAAATTAACACCTTAGCCCCTTACTTGTTAATTTACAAATGTCAAGTTTGAAAATGGGTTAACATTATTGAAATCTGCATTTTTTTATACTTAATTTTTCTAAAGTTTTTTTTAAACTAATTTTTAAACATTTTTTTAAATCCTTTTCTTTGTATGTGATTTTTTTCAGAAGCACACGTACAAACATTTGAAATTCATAATTATTTATCGCAAACTAAGAATAAATAGGATACATAATTTTATTAATTTATGTAAATTCTTGTTCTTTACATAAAAAATGAATATATGCTTTTGTAGCCTCACATACAAAAAAAACCTCTGTTTTCGTACGCAAAACGGTTAAAACCAATAACTCTGGAAAAATTAGGGATTGATTTGATATCGTATCGATATTATAAACAGGGTCCCCTTCTAAATCGATAATAAATCAATATTTTTCTATTCAGACAAGTGTTGCGACCTAAAGAAAGCCGAAAGAATGCTAATCTACAAACATTATTTTCCAAAAGAATGTTCCTCATTTTTTTTTTTAAGTAGTGCCGAACAAGGAAAAAAAACATAAAATACTCTGGGATTTTGGCATCCAGACCGACAACTTCGTTCTAGCAAGAAAACCGGATCTGATAATTACACATAAGGAAAAGGCAACCTGCCAGATCACGGAATGAATATGTATGAAACTGGAAAAAGATACCAGGATCTTGCATGGGAGCTGAGAAAGATATCAAATATGAAGTATAGACTCGCATAATAATAGTTTAGTTTGAATCATGCGAAAAAGACACTGGACGAATCGTAGATACAAGAGTTGAGACTGTAGACTACGGCGTTGTTGGTACCGATACTGAGAAGAGTGCTGAAGTTTAGAGTAGACTTGCTGTCAATTAGTCTCTTCAACGATGAGCACCAGACACTTGGTGTGAACAAGCACATGCTTGAATGATAATAAAAAATAAATAATGTACTCTCATAATATTTTTTTATGAATAGAGGAAATCATTTTTATAGGTGAATTTCACACACAACTAATTTATAATTTTCTACAAGTGAGTCGTGAAATCGGGTAAACGTCTCTCTCTCTCTCTCTCTCTCTCTCTCTCGCTCCGACTTTTCTGTTTTGTTTCTAAGCATGCGCGCTCGTACACCCAATCACCAACATCTTATCCATGCTTGTTTACAAATTAAATTACCTAATAACTGACTCATGAGAGAGCACAAAAAGAGGCACTATTCAGTGTTGAAGGTAAAAAAGCAGTAAAATAGGAATAAAGGCAAATAGTATAACAGCGTAACAAGAGAGGCAACTCTGAAGAAATAATTTTCTTCTTGTTCCCTGAACTGAGTTCTCAATGTCGATTGGTCTATGCCATCGCCAAGACACAAGTGAAGGTTCCTATCTGAATATTCTCCGAAGGAACTTAATGTTTTTGAGTTTTTGTGAGCTGGATGCAAATATGGCGTCGATGAAGAAATACCACCACCAAATTCCGAGGAATTCGAACAGATTGATCAGTCTATACATCTTTAACGGTTTCCCATATCTCGCCGGATATTTAACATCTATCGAATTCACTCCACCAGGAAATAACGGAATTCACCTCATATTAAATTTTTCGCTTTCTTTTTCTTTTCTCTGCTTTTTTTAAGAAAATCATTTTGCACCTAGTGTTTCAGGTAGCACGATGTGCATTTATGTATGCATGTATTTGTGCTAAAGAATGCTACCTATATATATATATATATATATATATATATATATATATATATATATATATATATATACATATATATATATATACTTTACATTATTCGGACTGTTGCCCTCATCTTTATTGCCACATTCATGACGTTTCGGCCGTTGTACGTTCCGGCCTTCTTCAGGTGATATTTGTTAGAATTTCAAACCGAACCCTTTATTTAGTCCACGTGGGGGGGTGTTCTAATTCCACGTGCCAGGTAACTGAAACTGAGATACCCAAAGGCATGGAATGTGGAATTAGAATAATCTACCCCTCCTCGTGAACGAAATAAAGTGTTCGATTTATATATGTGTGTGCGTGTGTGTGAAATGTTTAATGCAACATAACTATACTAATATCTTTTGAAGAAACAGTTAATTGTCGTCGCTCTACAGTTTAACATATATTGGCATGAATACAGTTACATATATATACACACACAAGAGTATAAACGTAAATACTTTCACACACACACACATACATATATATATATATATATATATATTTGTATGTGCAAGACTCAGCAATATTCTAAGGTAATTTCCTCATACTGAATTCTACACGAACGAGTCGAGATCATTGGCGAGAACAGAAGAAACCGCGTTTTTTAAATATTCACCACTTGGGATGGAAAAGCATTTCAATCAGATGCGTCCAAACCAGCTGCACATTTAAAAAACAAAAATCCACCGGACATACACTTTTTAGTACTTGTGCGCGCAGAACTCCATATTGGCTTTTCAAACAAGTAAACTACAAACATTTACTTGTAGTTAATCTCTATATTGAAGGCAATTTGCCTGTTCACTTTCACTCCTGTTTTTCATGATTGGTAGAAGAATATAATTAGATTTTAACCTTCTTAATAAACATGCTAGCTTGATACACAAAAGGCAAACCTCAAAAGGACTTTTTTATGACACTGAAACTGCCATAACACGATGGTCGACTTTCCAGAAGCGACAATATTTTAAGGTAAATCCAAATATATGCTCATACATATGCATACACATACCATCATATACATGAGGGGGGTGCTGAAAATATCTCGACCTGGCCCGGGCCGACCCACTTCTCAAAATCAGTATCCAATGATCAAACATCAGAATTCTGTTTAAAGGTAGGGTGACCGGTTGATAACTTTTCAGCACTCCTCCTCCTGTATAGTCTGAAAAAGAACAAACTTATATAATAAATTATGATTTTAAAATATCACTTTTGTTATTATGGCATAGATGAAAATTCTAT